TCCCTACTCACAGGGGAAGAATGGGCACTAAACATGCAGATTCACCAGGCTTAGGATGCAGGTATCTTGGCTTCTTGTAAAACAACAGATGTAACTTTGTGACTTCTATAAACAAAACAAAAGAAAAACAACAAACCATAACAAACAAATAATTTGTTAAATATCCAGTAGAAATGCTGGTGGTCCTGGTTATGTAAGTTCCTTGCTGTTTCAGTAGCACAGCAACTGTTTAATTGCTCAACTAAGCATCTATCTATAAATGGGTTATTCTGTAATGCTTACTAGGTAAGAGTAAAGAAACCAAACGAGACCCTGACCCCTTATTCTTGCAGCGATCTGGGCGAAATCCTTCAAATACTACTCCTCAGATGTGTAAAAGCCATGAGCCTTTTGGTAACAGGGCAGACAAGAAAGAAAAAATGCGCCATAATCACTTCATCAAAACAGCGCAGCCATACAAACCAAAGGTATGGATGTGTGAAGGGAACATGGGGGATCTGTTTTAAGTAGTCGGAAGTGGAGAACCTGGTTTAAATCTAGGTGCCACTGAAATGTGAGTAGCAGTGGTTCTACTGCCTTAAAAAGCTGGAATTTCAGCCTGAGTTTTGTAGTTGTTTAGGGGATTCTGTAGAGAGTGTTTATTGTTCTGTATAGTAGTTTTCTGGATAAGCTTTGATATGTTAGGGAGGAAAAAGCTTATCTTTGGCATAGTTGTAGCAATGGCGGGGGGAATCACATGGCTTGTAGATGGAGCAAGATTTGACTGTATGTTACTGTAAGCTGTCTCCGTGAGTTTCCTCGTTTGTATGTAGTTGTATTAGTTAACTGCTTTGCTTTTGATCTATAAATCAAAGTATTTCGGTCTCCCAGTTACTAAAATGAGTTGGACTCAACTGAAATTTTTGAAGAAAAGTTCCAGCTGCTTTTCAAGTCTTGGAAGTTCTTTTTTCTTTTTATAATTATATGTAATTTGGTATTGGATCACTAAGCATTTTATTTCAAGTTATGTAATGACCAAGTTCAGAGATTTAAAATGTGACTTTGTGATTTTATTTTAAAGATTGACACTGGTGCGGAAGAGGGAAAAAAGAAGAGAACCAAAGATGAAATAGTAGACATAGATGATCCTGAAACAAGACGTTTTGCTTACCCTCTCAATGAGCTTTTACTTTGGGCGGTGTTAATGAAGAGGCAGAAGATGGCCCTTTTCTTCTGGCAGCATGGGGAAGAGTCCATGGCAAAAGCCTTAGTTGCTTGCAAAGTGTACCGTTCAATGGCATATGAAGCAAAACAAAGTGACCTTGTTGATGATACTTCAGAAGAACTGAAACAGTATTCCAAGTAAATTATTAAATTATTAAAGATCTTGCCTTGAAATTTACAATAAAAATAGTGGGCTTTATAAGAACAAACTCTGAACTGTTACATTGGCACACTTGAAGATAATTCTTGTTTGCAAAAAGAATTAAGTGGCACTGTAGAATTTTTACATTAGATATTTCTTTCCCTTGAAAGCTGTTACAGGTCAGGATTTAAAGTTAAGTTAAAATGATACTGAATGTGCCATTTACTTCTGTGTAATTTCCTTGCATGTTTTAACAGAAGTCAGAGATTCACACATTGTAGTTACAAATTACTTTTCAGTATATCTGTACAGGAGGGACAGGTAATAGTCTCTTCAAGTTATGATAGTGGGAATTTGATTGATTTGATTAGGTTGAATAAATTTCAACCTAAGCTCAAGGTCATTTCTATAGATACTATATTTTGTTTTGTTGGTTTGTCTTCATTCTAGCGAGTTTGGTCAACTGGCAGTCGAACTGTTAGAACAGTCCTTCCGACAAGATGAAACTATGGCAATGAAATTACTAACCTATGAGCTTAAAAACTGGAGCAACTCAACGTGTCTGAAGCTAGCAGTGTCATCAAGGCTTCGTCCGTTTGTAGCACATACTTGTACACAGATGTTGTTATCAGATATGTGGATGGGAAGGCTGAACATGAGGAAGAATTCATGGTACAAAGTAAGCATTGTCACAGTTTATTGGTGTGAAAAGGATAAACAGAAATCATGTTTAAATGGAAGGAAAGTATGTGTTTAACTGCTATTAGTATAAAGCTTTCACAACTATAACTTATGTTAATAAATCCTGTGAAACAGTCTTCTATAACATAATCAAAACTGGAAGTGTTTATTGAAAACTCTTCTTTTGACACTCTTATTTTTTCAAATAAGGTACAGAAATGTACAAGGCAAAACCCAGGCAAGTAGCCTTTAATCAGAGGCTTAAAGAGATCATGTGAAAACTAATCCACTACTAAAAACATAGTGGTAAAAAACTTAACAGACAAGAATGCATTTTGGCTTTTTACAGACAGCACATAAGGCCTGATGTAGAAAAGCTTTGTGTATATTCTACTGTGGAGGAAGAAATCAAGCAAAAGCAGGGCACAGAATGAAACAAGGGTAGGCAAAGCGGGGATAGGTTTTTCAGTGGTGTTCTTTGTGATACAGACCAACTGAAAAATGGGAGTTGGTTATTTCTTAGAGATGGTGTATCAAAACCTAATTGTTGCCAGGAAAATAACGAAATAAAACTTTCCTACAAAATATCTGCAAGCGCTGTTTAACTTGTGACCTACTAAAATCTTCTTTGATAACTGATTAACCATTTGCTTGCTTGCTTTGTAACTGGCTAATCACAATAGCTTTCACTTACTCTCTTCATCCATACCTTAGCTCATTTTTCTACCATAAGTTAATTAAAAAAAGGGGGAAAGAAAAAAAACCCAAATCATCCCCCACCAACAAAACCACAACCTCCTATATGGTTCTTAAATACACCTTGATAGTACAAAGTTCCATGGTTTTTGGGAGTAGGTTAATGAACAGTGTAAACAGAGTATCTCTGGATCTTCAGGCTTGGAGTACATTCTTTCTATCTAGTGGCTTTTAATTTTGGAATTTGTAGATTTATCCTTTTGCTGTATCTTCAGGTTAAGGAACATTGTATATATATCATCCATAGCCTCTTAAGCGTGTATATAAGTAGTAACAACTAATTATTTTCAACATTTTTTTTTCTTCCCTCAAAAATAAGTAAGTGAAATTTGGATAATAGATTTTCATAAGATATTCCCTGTGTTATTTCATTCTGATACTTTAACATAGCTGTGAACTATTTGCACTTAGTTTTCATCTTTTCTAGGTGATACTGAGTATTTTACTCCCTCCTGCTATATTGCTGTTGGAATATAAGACCAAGGCTGAAATGTCACATATTCCTCAATCTCAAGATGCGCATCAAATGGCAATGGATGACAGTGAAAACAACTTCCAGAGTCCAGCAGATGAAATACCTATGGTAATGTGAGGCAGGGGGAGATACTAAACCCAATATTTATAACTTAAAATAAATAATTATATTTTAAAATCAAAGCAGGAGTTAAAATGAATGTCCAAAAGCATGTATTTCTGTATGTGAAGTTAACAGTCTTTTCATTTTAGGAGGTATTTAAAGAAATAAGGATCTTGGACAGTACTTTAGAAAAGCATGATATGGAGACTCCAGCAAAACCTAAAAGACTTCCAATTACACAGAAATTTTATGCATTTTATCATGCACCAATTGTGAAGTTTTGGTTTAATACGGTGAGTTTTCTTCTGCGTAATGTGTATTTTATCTGGAAATCTAAAGCAGGCTTTTGAGTTCTTTTCCCAACATGTACCTCTGTGAATGGAGTCAAAGTTTAAACCCTTTTTTTTTTTTTTTTAAAAAACAAACAAAAACTCCCTTACCTTGCCAAGCTGGAAATGAGAAGTACTTGGTTTTGAAGAATTGCTTATGCACATGCAGTGCTCCGTGGTTTGGGGGTTTTTTTCAACTTCATGATGTTGGCTTTGAGAAATACTTTGTTGTTGTTGTTGTTAAGAGTAATTAGCATGAACATTTTTCATCTATCCTGAGTAATTAATTTCATCAGTTGCTAGCAGGGATTCTATAGTCATTTATTAGGCTGAAGTGTTCATGCACAGCTTTGTTTAAATTACTGTAATAGAAACTCTAAAATATGTATCAAAGAAAACTAGCTGTAATAAGAACAAAGCTTTGCTAACACTAAATAGCTTATTACAGCTCTTTTCCCTCTTCTAAGAAGAAAATGTTTTTATCCCCTAATAAATAATTACTTGTCTGCTTAAAAGGGTAAATATAGTACTATAATCCTACTTGAAGCTTTTATTGTGTACCACATCAAAAGAGTCCATGAACATCTATAAAGAACCCTTCAGTAATTACATGTATAATTTCCATTGCTTTTTTTAGTTGGCATACTTAGGATTCCTCATGCTCTACACATTTGTGGTTCTTGTAAAAATGGAAGAATTACCATCCGTTCAAGAGTGGATTGTTATTGCTTACATTTTCACATCAGCAATTGAGAAAATTCGTGAGGTAAGCCTGTAACAATCTGGGATTTTAGGTTTTTTTGTCAGTTGAAACAGTATGCTTTAAATTGTGTTTATAAACAAGAGAACCTAAGAAACTTTTGGCAAGTTTTATATGAATTTTGAAATGACAGAAATTTTGGGTTCATCAGGCCCAACCAAAGGGGTAGAAAGAAGGGGTCTTTTCTGTAACAGCAACTGCCTCAAAAGAAAAACAAAAACACAAAACCCAACCAACCAAACAAAAAATGCCCCCTAAAACCAAAATTCCTTCATAAATTGTTCAACAGGAGGAAACATACATCCTCCTTGTCCTTGTTTTGAAGCTGACGCAGTTAAAACACTGGTTTGTGTTCCTCAGTGTAAAACAGTTATCCTTTTAAACAGCTATTTCATTTTTGCAAGTATAAAAATGGTAGCAGTTCATGTATTCCAGTGTGGGTCACTGTGCAATGAATGTGAGCATGACTTTTATTTTTATTGCAGATATTTATGTCAGAGGCTGGGAAGATTAATCAGAAGATTAAAGTGTGGTTCAGTGATTACTTCAATATCAGTGACACAGTTGCCATTGTCACTTTCTTCATTGGGTTCGCATTAAGATTTGGAGCAAAGGGCAATTTTGGTGAAAACACTTACAGAGAAAATTATGTCTTTGTTGCTGGACGAATAACATACTGTCTCAATATAATTTTTTGGTATGTGAGATTACTGGATTTTCTAGCTGTAAATCAACAGGCTGGCCCTTATGTTATGATGATTGGGAAAATGGTAAGTACTACTTTTGTTACTGATTCCCCGCCCCCCCCCCCCGATTGAAATATGTTTTTCTTGCTGCATCCATTTGCAACTTTTCTTTTAAGTTCTATTCAGAAAAAGGTTGCTTTTCCTGGTTTCCTATGTCAGCAACTCAGTGTGCAGAATTAGGTAGCTGGAATATAACTTAATGTGGTTCAAAACAACCACTGATAGAAGGCTTCCTTTGTTATGGGGCTTCCTCTGCCACATACCTGTAAAAAGCTGTCGAATCTTCCTTCTCTAGTCTGTTTTGTTCTTAGATGTCAGAGACTTCAATGAATATGATGATGCCTTTTTTCTTGATTCATCTAGCACTGCTTCCCTTTTGGGTCTGAGATGTTTTTATAATCTTGGTTTTCTTGCCTTTGCGCTCTCTACTGCAAGACTTTAACTTCTTTTGTGTCCTAAAGCACCTTGTATTTTGTGCTGTAAAAAAAAGGGAATAGACTGTAGCTCTGTTCTGGTCTTCTCTCGCACAAAAAGTATTCAAACTGTTTAAAAATAAAAACTTAGTTTTACTGTCAGTGAACTATTCTAAATCTTTAAAACATGCTAAGGCTTGAGAACTGTATGTAGGAAGGTGGAAGGGTTGTTTGTTTTTCTTCCCCTGTAAAGTTCCTACAAAATTGAATCATGTAATTCCTTAAAAATGAGGGCATCAATTTGCTTATTTCTCACTTTGATTTCTTGCAAGAGGCATAGGCTCTGTGTTTCAGCCCTTGGAAAACTATCTGTGTTTTGTGCAGCTATTGAGTGCACTTAAGAAGGAATGTTTCTCTTTATAAGCTTCTACTCATCCACAATAGATATTTGAGTTACAAACAAAATACTCTCAGTTGCCTTTGGTGGAGGGTATAAATACACTATAAGAAAGGACAAGAAAAAGACAGGGGTTTTTTTTGGATTTTTTTTGTGGTTTTGTTTGTGTTTTTGTTTTTTATTTTTAACAGGGTTTATTATTTAACAAAGTTTTCTGGCTGACATATAAGTGTCTCAGACTCTTTTCCTTATATGCATAGAATCCTGTCAAGCTTACACAGTCACTTTGAAAGTGTTTAACATTGTGAAATCATAATTATGACCTTGTGCATTAACTGACTTTTTTTTGTATTAATAGGTGGCCAACATGTTTTACATTGTGGTAATTATGGCACTTGTACTACTTAGTTTTGGTGTTCCCAGGAAGGCAATACTTTATCCTCATGAGTCACCATCTTGGACTCTTGCTAGAGATATTGTGTTTCATCCATACTGGATGATTTTCGGTGAAGTGTATGCCTATGAAATTGATGGTAAGACACTGCAATTTTGAAGCAAGTAAGGAGAAAACTTACTCTTATAAGGTCTTCCCAAGGTCTTAAGAAATTTTAATTTTATGAAATGAAATACCCAGTATTGTTGACACTGATTCTATTCATTGGGTTGTGTCTTTGTGGGTTGCAGCTGTATAACTTCTGGACTTGACTTTTCATTATCCTTTATAAAGCTTCAGTGGCTTAGAATGAACACTCTACTTAATTGCAATTTCTTACAAGGCTATTCCTGGCAAGGTTTTTGTCATGCCAAAATTTTGGCTGTGGTGGTATATTATGCTTTTCTGAAAGCCAGTAATAGGATTATACCGTAGCATTAACCAGAAACATTGTCTCCTGTATTTTTCTACCATATTCCTAAATGCATGAAGACATTTCCAAATGCAGAACCAGTGTGTCATAGCTGGTTGTTGAAATCTTTATAAGTGACCTTTTTTATTTTTTCCCTATCTATGTCTGTTCTAAAAGTTGTATGTATTTTTCTCTGTATCTTTTTCTCAACACAGTATGTGCAAATAATTCTGATGAAAAAGTTGCTCATCTCTGTGGCCCAGGAACATGGTTGACTCCATTTCTTCAAGCTGTCTACCTCTTTGTACAGTACATAATTATGGTTAATCTTCTTATTGCATTTTTCAAGTAAGTATATGGATAATTGTTAATTTTTGCTTTGATAAGTTTCTATTTCACTGCAATAAAATGACAAGATAAAAAGAAATGATGCCAGTTCAAAGCAATCCCATTTGCTGGAAGTATTTTCAGATTCTAAGGCTAGTCTTCATCTCGTCATCACTGCAAGTCTGTGAGAAATAGAGAAGTGTGTTATGTGACTGGTACATGTCTTATCTATGAGGCTTGAGGAATTGGAAGTTTAAGAGAATTTGAAAGTATTTTGTAACTTTCTCAGAAAAGAAACAGAGTTGTTTCTTAATCTGTGTATTTACCATCGTTCCTAAATTCATTTAACATTCTTTAGTTGGTTGAGTCGAACTGTAGTAAATTGTCTTACAGTTCTCTGTGTTTGATTTGTGGGAATAAGCAGCTCAGTGAGACCTAGCTAAGCTGACGATAAGAATTAACACTGAAGAGTGACAGGCTGCAGAATTTATGTGGTCTGATGCAAAACCTGGGTTTCTAACTAACCATTAGTTAGAAATATTTGTTTGGCAAGCTTGAAATTTTATCTCAGTGTAACTTACTTCTGAGGAAAGCTACTAAGATGTTACCAGGTGAGAATTTTTTAACCCTGCCCTTGCTTTAGATCCTAGTATTTTCTCAAATGTGTTTCCAACTTTCACTAAAATAAGCTGTAGCAAAGAACCCAAGTGTTTGCTTTTTTCTGTTACTCAACTAAACAATTCAGGATTGTTTAAAGAAAAAACCCCAAAACGAAACACCAACCCCCACCTCCCCTCCCACCACCCCAAAAGCCACCTTGATGTGTTAATATTTCTTCTGTTCCCTTTCAGCAACGTGTATTTACAAGTCAAGGCAATTTCAAACATTGTGTGGAAGTATCAACGCTATCATTTCATTATGGCCTACCATGAAAAACCTGTTCTGCCTCCACCACTTATTATTCTTAGCCACATGGCTTCCCTGTTCTGTTGTATATGTAAAAGAAGAAAGACAGACAAGACTTCAGATGGGCCAAGTATGAACAGTTATTATCCAAAAAAAGGCAGTAACTTTTTTGATATGATTAAAGCAAACTGTCAGAAAAGTGCTATGTTCTTGGTTATAATGTGTATTCTTAAGAAAGTCAAAGTAGGTGTTAATTTTCCATGTTTTTTAATATCGGTTAAGACTATTTCTGTTCAAAGTTTAAGTGTTTTTATGAATGGTGTAATGCACAGCCCCTGGAAATCTCCAGTAAAAGTAATTTGTGACAAAATCAAACAAAACCAGATTAGATTTCCTGTTCGTGTTAATGGGTGAAGGGTTGGTTTTTTTTTCTGAAAACTTCTGTTCTTATTGAAAACTGTTTTAGAATTTAAAAAAGGGATAAAAACTTCAATACACACACATCTTCTTAACTGTTATATCTCTGTTTAGAACTCTTCCTGACAGAAGAAGATCAAAAGAAACTTCATGATTTTGAAGAGCTGTGTGTTGAGATGTATTTCAATGAGAAGGACGATCAATTTCATTCTGGCAGTGAGGAGAGGATTCGAGTCACATTTGAAAGGTAGAGTGTTTGCAAATAAAATTGCTGAATGTAGGAGCTTAGAACTTTTTCAGGTTTTTAACGTGCTTTAAGCGGGGTAAAATGCAGCTCAAGAACAGAAGTATTTATGCAAACTTTAGATGATGTCTTTCTGTTACTATGCAGAAACTAATAATGTGATTGGTGCTTCCTGATCGGTAGCAGGACTCAGTAAGCTGAGGCAATCATATTATTTAGTTTCTCACGATGCTTTAATAAACTGAATAAATTTGGAAAAGTGCTGTAGACCCTCTTGATTTTGTTGTTGTTGTTGTTGATTTTGTGATTCAAATACATACAAATGTACATACTGTAGTGTATGCTATCTTGAAATTTCAGCAGGTTTTTCCTCATTAAACGGGCAGAAAGGGTTGCAAAGATGTTTCTTTTGCATATTGAGAAAAATACCTTTCATAGCTACTTCATAATTTGATTTTTCTTAGGGTGGAACAAATGTGCATTCAGATAAAGGAAGTTGGTGATCGTGTCAACTACATAAAACGGTCATTACAGTCTTTAGATTCACAGATTGGACACCTACAGGATCTCTCTGCTCTAACTGTGGATACTCTGAAAACACTGACTGCACAGAAAGCTTCAGAAGCTAGCAAGGTTCATAATGAAATCACCCGGGAATTGAGCATTTCAAAACATTTGGCACAAAATCTCATTGAGGATGGCTCTCTAAGATCTTCGGTGTGGAAAAAGCACAGCATTGGAAATGTCTTTGGTTCTTTTCCACAAGGAGGCCTTGAAAGTAATAATGCTTTACTCTGTAATATTCCTTTACGGGATGAAAAAGATGCCCAACATAAGACAATTGGTCAGGAGTTAGCTCCAGTTCCCCGAAGAGAAGAAAAAAACTTCCAAGAGGCAGGTTCCTCAGGCAGTGCCTTATTTTCAAATGCTGTTTCCCCTCCAGAACTTCGCCAGCGAATACAGGCTTCAGAGACCTCGAAATCCACTAGTAAAAGTAAAAAATTAGGCAATTCATCCAACAGCATGCCACATGTAACATCCCCAACAGCTAAGTTTTTTGTTAGTACTCCGTCTCGGCCCAGTTGTAAAAGTCAGCTGGATTCTTCAGCAAAGCATGAAGAGACTGTTTTCTCTAAGGCTGCAGAAGGAGATAATAATGTAGAATTTGGTGCATTCGTGGGTAAGTATAACAAAGTAGATTCTGAATGTCCTGCAGTCGTTATTAGCTGCTCTTATCCTCTTGCTTCTGGCTCTGCTTGCCTTGCTTTCACCCAACCTTGTGTTGAAAATGGAGGATACGTTAATTGTGGTTTTATTCATGATGAGAGTGACACTAATGATAACTACAGCTGCAGAGTTGACAAATGTGATCACCAGTCCACTGTCAACTTATCGAAGAACAACCCCCAAATGAAGTTCTCTTTGTCAACTGGCGACTTGACATCAGCAGTCAACTGTAGCGGCTCACATGGAAAATTGAATATTAAAGATGAACTTTCCAAAAGTCAGCATGTCCATGCAATGGAACTACAAACCCAAGATTTATGTTCTAACATCCTTATGGGACTACTTCATAAACTGTGGACCAAATCTAAGCCACAAGGTTTGACTTATCAAGAATTGTATGGTATTTTGGGTGTATTCCGGTTGCAGGTGACTTTATTCTACCATTTTGCTCTGCTTCTTTTTGCTTTTAACATCTCTAATTTCTTTGTGTTGCTTGAATTTATTTGTTTTAACTTTAATTATAATTTCTTTATAATTCTGTCATATAGACAATATTTTTCTGAAAAAACATTAGCCAGTTGTTGAGTGTAGCTGTTCTGTTCAATTAGCAGCTCTACAACGTGGTATGGGCACTGTAGACAAACTTTTTGTGACTCGGAAAGCTCCTGCCTTCTCATTGCATAAATCAAAAATATTGTCTATTTCTTGACGTAATTACAGAAGACTTCTTAGGCTGATGGAATCCTGAACAAGTATCTTTGTGGTATCTGTGTCAAGCTGAGGGATCCTCCTATACTGTGTTTCTAAACACTGTTGTAACTGGGATCTTCCACTGTTGCCTAAGCTAATGTATCTTTTGGCAGTTGTTTTGGAAGCTTCCAAAGTCCTTTTATTAAATAGAGCATTATGCCTCCCCTCAAGTTTTGCTTAACAGCAAAAACGTGTACGTTTTTGGTTAGAGTTACTTACATATTTGAACAGCAAAACAGTGGCAGATTCATTGCAAAACACAGGTGTGGGTTTACTAACTGATTTCTGTAAAGTAGATAATGCTTTAAGTATGCTTAGTGTATAGCAGAAGATCACAATCTGGAGTTGTCAGGTTGCCTGCAGAGGTTTCTCTTGCCAAGAAAGGTTTGTTGAGGACATAAAAATTTAAATCTTTAGACAAGAGTTTGTTCTACTCTGTGAAACTTGGAACTTGGAGTAGTTATGTACATGCACTATCATTTTTAGATTTGTGTATGTGTAGGAAGAGTATCTACACATTGTACACTAATGAGCTTATTTGTTTATCGTTTCCTCATGGTTTTAAAAAAAAGAACTTCAGAAAGCAAGACTAAACAGAAATAATGGTCAGTGTTTGTATAGCTTTTATCTAATCCTTAAATGTACTTTACCACTAATAACTTTGAATACTAACTATACTTATTTTACTGAAGCCAGCCTTTTAGTGTGTGGTCCTCTGACCTCTCTAGCATTTAGAACATACTCTTCATTCTTACTGTCCACATTTTATAAAGCTTGTGATACAGTGCAGCTTTCCATTGCGAAGGCAAGTAGATTTTCGTTCATTAGAAAGCCACATGCTGGTAAAATTCTGAAAAGTATTTCCTGCAACTGGGAGGATGAAGGGTATATTGTAAAAGCTACCTCAAGAAAACTCTCTTTATTTTTCCCTCATTTGTCATGCATACATAAAAATATTTTCATTCAGACTGCCCTGTTCCTTCCATACGAGGAACATACCCTTGAGTAAAACTTTAAAGTGTTAGTTTTACTTTTTGAGTTGTGGTAATCCACACCTTAATGCAGGAAAAACAGTATTTTTCATAGTAGTATTTTATTACCCTGATTTTTACTTTAGTGTGTTTAGAAAGTCTTCTCTAGTGCAAACAGGGACACAGAACTCTAGATGGTTTGTAACCCTTTGCTGTGGTGATGAAACTAGTGGCATAGTCAGAACATTGGAGGTTGCCTTTGATTTTGAATACTCTTTTTGAATTCACTGTGTCAAAGGTCACAGAGACAGCATGGAGTTACAGCGGTTTAAGGAGGTGGCAAGCAAAATGAAAGAGAGGAGTGCTGATATTGAGGTAAGCATGGAAGACTTTTTGTCAAACGTGTTCATGGGGATAACTCTCCTTTAACCGCAACTTTGCAATGTATTTTGAGAAAGTCTAAGAGCAAATAGAGTCAAAGAACTTGCAGAATGCATCCTGGAAGGAATGTGTATCTCATGAAAACTCATGCAACCTTAACTACACATCAAGTACTGATTGTTTCATAATGCGATACTAATGAAATATTAATCAAGAACTGAGGTTGTGAAAACTGAGATGACTACAACTGTGAATTAAGATAAAATTATCCTGTAATTAGTGTTTAATGAAACATTTGTCATAAATTTCAAGATTAGCATTTAGGATTTCAGTTATACATTACCACCTTGCTCTATAAAATATAATGCAAATGTGACTTTTAAAAGTGACAAAAGTTGTTCATTATGCTTCCAAGGAGAAAAGACCTTTCTAATAAACTTGTCATAAACTTAAAAGTATGTATAACTTCCATTTTCTGAATGAATAAAAGTAACTAAATGGGGAGCGATTAATCATGACAAACCTGACCTGCAAGTGCTATTTGGGGCGTACAAGGATGCTGAGGAGGGACTCTTCATTAGGGACTCTAGTGGTAGGACAAGAGGTAATGGGTTTAAACTTAAACAGGGGAAGTTTAGGTTAGATATAAGGAAGAAGTTCTTCACAGTGAGGGTGGTGAGGCGCTGGAATAGGTTGCCCAAGGAAGTTGTGAATGCTCCAACCCTGGAGGTGTTCAAGGCCAGGTTGGACAGAGCCTTGGGCGACATAGTTTAGTGTGTGGTGTCCCTGCTCATGGCAGGGGGTTTGGAACTAGATGATCTTAAGGTCCTTTCCAACCCCAACTATTCTATGATTCTATAGTATGTGTAAAAAAGCAATTTTTCTTACTGTGGCTGTTAAGTTAGTAAATACAAGTTACCGTTTGCAGTTACCCCTCATTCAGGTGAGAATCTGACTTGAGAGTTGCATGATAACCATTTACAATGTCAGTGTTCTGCTGATCTGGATCTTCTGATAAGTATAATGTGTGACCTTATTGCTTTTACTGTGTGTGTATTTTTGGCATAGGTTTTTTGGTAATGATGTTTACAGTTTGCTTGGTCCTTTTTTTAATAGGAGCAGCAGGAAGACTTCAAAAAAGCTATACTGGAGGGTATAGAGACAACCAGACTTCAAGTAAGTAAAGAAGGTTTCTATTTATTGAGACATTATTTTCACCAGACACTGAATGTATTCTTTACAGTGAAAACAGGGAAAAAAGTTGTACAGTTAAACTTTTGTACAAATAGAGCTGGATGTCTCCTTGATATAGGTCTAAATCGTTCCGGTGTTTGATACTATTGGGATGAAAAATCCAGTAGCATTTCCAGACAGTACTGCTGTTCTCCGGTGCTTAGTAACAGAGTTATCCCATCTTTACTGGTGGGACTGGTTTGATTCTAGCCTTTCCTGTAGGTGCTACAGTCACTGGTTGTAAGATGCTAAAGATGTATGCAGAACTCTGAAATGCATATAGACCTAAAAATGGATCTTCAGAAGATACTTCCAGCAGGTGCATTCTGTGTGTTGCATTCCAGTACAGTATTCAGGGATGTAAAGAAATAATCTTTCTCTCACAAATATACACGCACACACATATACATAGATACGCATATACATATATAGATGTGTATACACACACAGTTATATACACACGTGCTTTTGACACGCATTCATATACACACAGGCATGTGTGTATGTGTTATGGGGAGTGTGTGTGCATAAGGGTGAGACAGGGTGGTAACAATTTCCTAATTGCTATAAATCTTGGAGTCCAAAGCAGGGCATAGTTCATAAAGCATTTCAAGTTCTAGCTTTTTGTTCTTCAAAATCTTGATTTTTTTACATTTTATTCGGGTAACTGCTGGAATTAATAAAAAGAAAAGACTCCCCAATAGTCCTAGAAAAGAAAATTGGGCAGATTTTAATGATAACTAATGATATGTCTTTTTAGGGCCTTCAAACTGACGGTGGTCTAAGACAATCTAGTTCTTGTGGTGGGTTTACTGACCCTCTGGCAGCCCATGCAGAACAATGTAAGTGTGTTGTCTTTTCAGGTGACCTAATTTTATCTTTAAATTGTGTTGATAATGTCTATTCTAAGAAGATGCAAAGGAAAGACAAAAAGTTAAAGTGTCTTAAGATATTTTCATGGTTGGTGCTACTTTAATCTGCTCCTGTGTCTCATTGTGGTTCTTCAAGTCATGCCAGCTTAATTCTGTTACCTTGTATTTGGCACAGATAGCTAGAGTCATAAAAAGCTGAGTGATGTAATCACAACTCTGCTGGAATCTTGTAAAGATCAGATAGTTGTGGATCAGGCTTTTTTTGATGAGCCACATTAAGCTGTCGAGTTGCTCACTCTGTTAGGAACTAGGTAACTAACAATGGCACATGCCATTCTTTGTCCAGTTACAAATCTCTTTCTTTCATAGTATACAGCAAGAGTAGAAGAGCATCGACTGAAGACACTCAGCAAGTAGACTCCAAAGCAGCATTACTGACGGTTTGTATCCACCTTTTTTATTGTTGTTAAGCAGAACTAGAAACTGAACAAATAAAGGAGAAGAAACAGATTCTGTAAAATATAATACTGATTTGTGGACTCATTTGTTCAAAGAGGCAACAGAAGGGGCCTCTTTTGACTGAAGGAGGAAGTGTATGTTCTCTGCAACATTTTGTGCATATTCTCACTATGAAAATCTATGCTTCTTCCTGTTCATGGAAAAAACCCACAACTTCTTGTTTAAGAAAAGAATTGTTTATATAATCCATAAAACAGTACTGAAGGTAATCAGGAGTAGTCAGTATGGATTCACCAAAGGGAAATCATGCTTAACCAATCTGATTGCCTTCTGCAGTGGGACAACTGGCTGGATGGATGAGGGGAGAGCAG